GCAACTGCCAGTGGTGATTAAATGGGCAGGGCTATCTTGCCTGTAGAACCCCCTCCCCCACCTGAGGTTTGAGGGGTCTCGGCTGCACACTGGGCTCCCCAGCTCTGGGTTCCAGTGTTGGGATGATAAGTCCCCACAACGTCTGGCTGTGAAAACCAGCGTAGGTTGCGGCTGAGTGAGATGGAGAGCTGCAGGAAGCAGAGACCTTCCTCTTAAAGGGCCCACATCTGGCCTTACTCACTGATGGACTCACTTGCTCTGAGCTCCAGCACTGGGGCAGCTGCTCGAGGGGTGCCAGGGACGTGTGAGGAGGCACTGAGCTATTGGGCTTCAGGGAGAGAGCTGAAGGGGTGGCTGGCTCCTGGACAGAGGTGAAGTCAGAAGCCATTATTCCTTTATTGAGCCCTTCCCAATCCCAGCCTACAAACGTGGGCGCCATCAACCTGGATAACACACGTTGCTCTGCCCAGGGGATTCCCTGAGACTCTGCCTCTCCCAACTTGTGGGCCCACCCAAGCTGCTTCCAGTTATTTTATTCCATACAAAAGGGCTGTTTTGGCTCCTGCGGCAAACTTTCATAAAATCTCTCAAAGGCTCACAAAACCCAAAGCAGCAGTGCCCGGGCCTCAATGTGCCCAGTACCTCTTGCTGAGCAGCCCCAAACCCTGCACTAGTGGCAGCCAGACTCAGTTTTGGACTTGAACCCTTGAGGCACTTATAAGCCCAGCATGAGTGGCAGCCATAGCCGTATGTGGATTGCTTAGTGAATCATACCAGGTGGTCCCAGAAGTGCACAGGCTGTGGCTGAACTTGGCTTGCAGCTGAACACCCTCTCAGGTCTGTTCCAAGGGGCCCCATGGCACACCTACTGCATAAGTCACTCTACTAAGACTGGGGGACTTAGGAGCCCTACCTAATACATAGAAACAGACACAAGGAGGCAGCCAAAGTGGGGAGACAAAGAAACATGTCCCACTTGAAAGAAGAGAACAAAGCTTCAGAAAAAGAATTCACCAAAATGGAGATAAGAAATATACCCAATGCAGAGTTCAAAACACTGCTTATATGGATGCTCAAGGAACTTAAGGGAAAAGTAGGTGAACTCAGTGAGAACTTTAACAAAGAGATTAAAAAAACATAAAAATGGAGGTGAAAATTATAAAAGTGAACCAGTAAAAAATGAAGAATACAAAAATTTGAGATGAAGAGTATATTATAGGGAATCAACAGAGTAGAAGAAACAGAAGATCAAATCACCAATATATAGCAGAGGAGGCCCAATCAGAATGGCAGCAATAACAAAAACTCCAAAATAATGAAGATAATATAAGGATCCTATGGGATAAGATCAAACATAATAACATTCGCCTCACAGGGGTGCCAGAAGGAGAAGAACAAGAAAATGAAAAACTTTTTGAAGAAAAAATGATGGAAAACTTCCCTAATCTGGTGAAGGAAATAGACATACAATCCCAGAAAGCTCAGAGAGTCCCAAACAAGATGCACCCAAAGAGGCCCACACCAAGACACATCATAATTAAAATGCCAAAGATTAAATACAAAGAGAGAATCTTAAAAGCAGCAAAAGTAGTTACTTACCTACAAAGAGTTATCATAAGACTGTAAGCTGATTTCTCAAAAGAAACTTTGCAGGACAGAAGGGCTTGGCACAAAATATTCAAAGTGGTGAAAACCCAGGATCTACAACCAAGATTACTCTATCCAGCAAAGCTATAATTTAGAGTCGAAGGACAGATAAAGAGCTTCCCAGACAAGAAAAAGCTAAAGGAGTTCGTCATCACCAAGCCAGCATTACAAGAGATGTTGGAGAGACTTCTTTAAGAAGAAGAAAAAATATGTAGCAAAAATATGAATAAAGAATGACAATAACTACATATCTAGTAACAAGTACTTCAAATGAAAAAGAATTAAGTGCTCCAATCAATAGAAAGGGTGGCTGAATGGATAAGAAAACAAGACCCTTATATATGCTGCCTACAAGAGATTTACTTCAAATTAAAAGACACTCACAGACTAAAAGTAGGGGGATGGAAAAAGATATTGCATGGTGGACCTAGAGGGAAGTGTGCTGAGTGGAGTAAGTCAGATAAAGGAAGATAAATGCCATATGATTGCATGTATATATGGAATCTAAAAAACAAAATAAACAAATAAACAGAAACAAACAAACAAAAATCAACAAATAACAAGTGCTGATGAGGATGTGGACAAAAGGGAACCCTCATACGCTGTTGGTGGGATTGTAAATCAGTGCAGCCACTATGGAAAACAGTATAGAAGTGCCTCAATTAAAACTAGAACTACCTCATGACCCAGCAATTCCACTTCCGGGTATTTATCTGAAGAAATTTAAAACACTAATTCAAAAAGATATATGTATCCGTATATTAATTGCAGCATTATTTAAATAGCCGAGATATGCAAGCAACCTAGCTATCAGTAGATGATTGAGTAAAGATGTGGTACATATGTATAATAAACTATTACTAGACCATAAAAAGAATGCTATCTTACCATTTGTGACAATATGGATGGACCCAGAGGTATTATGCTAAGTGAAATAAGTCAGAGAAAAACAAATGCCATATGATTTCACTTATATGTGGAATCTAAAGAACAAAATAAATAAAACAGAAACAGACTCATGGATTCAGAGAACAAACTGATGGTTGCCAGATGGGAGGGGGTTTGAGGGGCTGGGTGAAAAAAGTGAAAGGATTAAGAAGTACAAATTGGCAGTTACAAAACAGTCATGAGATGTAAAATACAGCATAGGAAATACAGTCAATAATATTACGATAACTATGTATTGTGCCAGGTTGGTACTAGACTTATTTGTGGGGGATCACTTTGTAAGACATATATCTAACCACTATGCTGTACACCTGAAACTAATATAATATTGAATATCAACTGTAATTGAAAAAATATGGGAAAAAAAACCTTTGTATAGTTTGTTACAAATTGTTACAAAATTGGGGAAAATCTAATTATATCATCAGTAAAGGAAGGTTAAAGAAATTGGGTTTACTCATATTATGGAATCCTATGAAGCTTTCATAAAGAATGCGTTAGACTTAAATGAACTGACATGAAAAGATGTCCTTGACATACCAAATGAAGAAATCAAATTGCTAAAAATACGGTACTGCATTTCTACTACGTGAAATAAGTCAGAAATAACTAAGTGTGTGTATATATTTGTAGATTCACAGAAAAACAGTATGGAAGAGTATACCGAGCTCATTGATTCATATAGAGAATGAATCAATAGGTATGGGAAGATTGTGAGGATGAATTTCACTTTTAAATTCATATTTTTCTGTATTATTTGATTTCACTACATCATTACTTTTATAATTAAAAATAAGTAAAGAATACAGTCTGGGATATTTAGCTATTTTTGGCAATGGCACCAATACTTGTCAAATGGGAAATAGATCCCCAAAGGGGACCAGCCATTCAATGCTAAGGTAAGAGGCTTCTAGAACCAGGAGATAGTATCACAGACTAGCATCAAGATTTTAAGGTTTTAGGTTAGCTCTGAGAATAGTCAGAGGGTGGATTGTAAGGAAGAGTGCAGATGTCAGATTAGGGCAAGTCCAGCCTCAGCTAAAGAGAGGTCAGGAAGCTGGTTTCTTGAGCTTTTCCAACACTCTTGTCAGTGCTCACTCCTTCCTAACTACCTCCCTTCCCTAGTTTCCTCATCTCCAAACCTGGGCCTATTCTGTAGGCATAGCATGTGGCCTTTTCTCCCTTTTGCTCTGTCACTTCCTACAAGTTACTCTTAGCTGACTGCCCCTGGGAGAAGCTATGCTGTTTTTAGGTGGGGGTAAGGAACCGTATCAGGGCACCTTGGTTAGTCATATAACATAAGATTTGGCTGGAGAGCTATTGGGTGATGCTATAAACCATATGAGGGATATTGGGATAAAAGACAAATAATCAATGCCTGAAAAATGATTAGATGTTTAAAGCAACCAAGAATAGGATTAGAGTTAGGGACTATAGCTCCCTATGGCTTACCTGACTTACTAGCATGGCATTCAAAGCCTTCTCAATTGGACCCCAACCAACTGTTCTATAGGACTGACTTACCCAGTAGGTAGATCAAGCACAGTGCCTAGGGCCCACAATACTTTTAGGGGCTCATAAAAATGTTTTTGTTTCTTTGAAAATCAGAAGAAATAAAATTAATGTCATCAGCCTGGATTATATTCATCTTTATACCAATGCAGTTATAAAATATAATTTTAAATATTTTTCTATGAAGGCAAAAGTATCCATGAAAGTCATAATGTGGCCCTGACCTTCTAGCTTTTATATCCACTGCTCCCTCACTCTGATGTCCTCTTGGTTTCCTATATCCATTTGTACATTTGTCCCTCTGTGACTTTTCTCATGCTAGATTGTTGCTTATGTGAGGCCTTTGCTTATTGAGTCCTTGCCACCTGAAGACTCATCCTTTGAGGTCTAAGGTCAAATGTCAGCATCTTTGTGAGGCCTTCTGATTCCCCTAAATGGAAGGAATTGTTCTAACTCACCTAGCACATCTCTGAACAACTCCAGGCTTGTCATGACTTGCTTACATCTGTTTTCCCAGCTAGAGTGTAAGTTCTACGAAGGAAGAGCCTCATCGTATAACTCCTCATGTCTACGTGTGCTTGACACATACTATGTAAGCTACATTGGGGGCCTGAGGATGTTTGGGGATAAGAGACAGTGGCTGTGACAGAACTTTTCAGATGTGTGTAGTTCTTTAGCCTGAGTCAACTGTTTCTCCAAATGGATCGGCCGAAGGACAATGCGGGGGAGGAGGAACCCAATGTAAACTTCCTTTACCAATGCCATAAAACCTTTATTTCCAGTGGGATTTCATGTCCAATGCTCTTCTCTTTCTGGGAAAGAACGTCCCTTTCCCTA